CCCCCTCCAAACTTCACAAACAATAATAATAACTACGCACCACTTGAATAATATAACCGTAAGCCTACTCCAAGGCTAGCAGCGTCCATCTGCGCGGAAAATTAGACGCACATTTCCTACTCCACAGCAGTTTTCCTCAGCAAATAGTCTATAGAAAGCAGCGCCTTTTTGTGATTCGGGCTGTGATGCAAAAATTCATTTTGATTTTGACAAATAATTTCGATCCTCAAAATCTGCAATTTTACCACTCATCATCAGTGGTATATACTCCTTTACTCAACTTATAGTCAATAACACCAAAGCAGCCTTCTCTTTTTTAGTGGAGTTTCAATGTTCATTTTACTCCAAGGAAGAAAACGCGTTTTGAGTACACGTTGAAGCGAATCAAAAAATTATTTGTCCTATCAATTGATGATCGCGGTAGCCAAGATTGCTAATGAACTTAAATTCGGCTGACGTCTCGGCGTCTCTGCCTGCTTCATAGCCTGAACGTCGAAATATTCGTCCTAACTCTTCATTTCACTACAGAGAAACGAATCTGCAAGGTTGAACAGTTAATGAGTAGTTAGCGCTTATTAAACCTTTAAGGAAACAGATGCCACCGATTGCGAAGCTGCGTTAATACTGCTCAGTGGTAGTATAGTTAAGACCGATTATTCGTGGTCGAATAAAATTTTCGGGCATTTGGAATAATTCAAAAATTCGAAAAGTCGTATATTCGAAAACGCGAATATTCAACTTTTCGAATAATCGAATAGGTACATCGACATCCGAATATTCAAGTGCGGGTATCAGGATTGCGATTCGAATAATATTTGAGCATTCAAATGTGTGAGAAATCATCGAATATTCTTTCGTTCGATAATCTGCGAAAATACCGAGTATGGTTGACGTCTAGTATTTATCAAATGAAGTATTCGTCTATTCGATCACTAGCACAATCGAATAGTCGCACATTTGAATAAATGCAGTTATTCTCTTATTCAAAATCGAATATTCGGTCATACCCAATATTCAATGATTTCAATAATAGAATATTCGGAGACTTCATTATTATAATATTCGCATCTGAACATATTTTTAATAGCGATCTGAATATTATTCACTAGTTCGAATATTTTTATCACCAATGCATTCGATATTCATTCATTCGAAAAAGTTTTTGTATAGTCTTTCTATAGTATAATACAAATCTCTGTTCGTGTTTTTTCCCTTATTTAACTGATTTACTACCTTCAGCAATAAAATTGCTATCACTCGAGATCAAGGTTGCGAAACCTCTTTGAAAAATCAAAGAGAATTGCCAAAATTCGGCAACCTCCTCGCTCCTTCTCTTTCCTTCTTCAAAACCTCGAACGTCTAAAAATGTCAATCAGGGTCATATTTTTTCTAAGAGCAATTGCTCAGACACTTGGACAGGCGAGCGGTGGAGTTTGAGAAACTGTTGTGATTTCCTCTCTGGGATGTGGCGGTCGAGTGTATAACGGAAAGCAAAGTGCAAAAAAACCTTCTAATGAACTACTTCCTACAGCTTGTATTTCAGAAATTGTCGCTTTCTGCGTACCCGCCGCAAACCTTTTATTCATCAAGAGGGCAAGGTGGAATTTTAAAAAGCGCGTGCAAACATTGTCTAATGTGCAGTTAGGTCTAATTGAGTTTTTCATGCAATAAATTCTTAATTATGGAATCTCAAGCTAAATTTTATTTTCCGCTTTATCTTGATTTGTGACATTGTTCTCAACTTCCACCTAATTCACGGTGCTTTCACTTTTATTTATGTGCCCACATGTCTTATTTCACTTCTTTAAAGTCTTTGATTTTAAATTACCTTTTCAGAAGATTATATCAAGTTTTTTTCGTAGAAGCAATTTGTGTGAAGGGAACTAGCCGTCGTTAGTGAAATCGTCGCTGATGGGCAGAATAAGCTGACCGCCACTCGTTGTGGCGATATTCTAGTCAGAAGTTTCTACAGGGCAATAGAGCTTCAAAAAATACCTGCTGCACTTCGATTGAATGTCGACAGGGACTTTGAAATACATGAAAACATAGAGGTATCTATGAAATAACAGACAAAGATACATTTTCCTTTGCTCAACAACTCCAAATGTTGATCTAAAAGTAAGCGGGAATTTTTAGTAATGTGCCAGTGCGTTGTCTACTTGTTGTCTCCATGCATATTCAGCTGGCATTGTCATGAGCGATCAATTAGTTTGTAAAGAGCAAATTTTTGTTTTTTTTTAATCGTAAATAATTATCTTCTCTTACAGCATTGAAATAAATCATTTAAAAGCCCCTCTTGTGACTATTATAAATAGTACATCTATTGTGAAGTAACACTTTTCTGCTATCGGATATGTCTCGATAGTATCAAAAATTTGAGACTCTTGCCTAGAGGCCAATCCTGGCAAAATTCATTGGCAAGGGATATGATAACTTGAGATTCGATTATTACTTCTACCATCTAGTAGTTAGCGCTACTATACTCTACCAAAGATATCGTTGTAACCGTGGCTTTTTTGCGACACAATGCAAGAAGAAGCTAAGCCTGCACGATTTTGGTTTCAGAAGGCCTACACACCTGTGAGCAGTCATAGTAGGCCAACAATCTTGTACCCCAAAACAAATATTTGATGATGTGTTGATGACGGTATTGCAGCATAGGAATACATTTCGGATGAGCGGAGGCCAAAAAGCGGACAAGCGGGGAATGATCACGGGTGGCTACGTTTATTGGCGTTTAATCGGCCAAATAGGGCCTTTTTACTGAGCTAAAAACTTCTTGGCGTCTGGCGGAGGCTCTTAATTCCGTCCGGATCTTAGTATGTAATTTTTGCTATTAATCTGCGTTCGCATAAAGAACGATGTAATGCAGAAACTTACTTATAGCTGAGCAAAAATCCAGAATGGCATAGAACTCATCGGAGAACATGGTCTTCTTGACAATTGCTAGGAATATTGCTAATACCGTAGAGAAGATTATAAATAGGAGCAGCAACATAAGGCCAGGACGTGGATAGCGCACCGGTGTCAAAAAAGCTGCTCGTTCGGGACAATTTGGTGGAGGGTCAGGCATTGAACACTTAAACAAGCAACATATAGCAGTGGTTTAGCAGGTGGTAGCGCGCAACTTACTACACGATTCAAATCTTCTTCCTTGTGCTCGTCTAGCTTTTCTTTGAATTCCAGCACAATATCTCGAGGAGGACATGTGGGCATCGTCCATTCCTTGTCTGAAACTGAGCACATTATTCCAAGCTACGATATCGCGCGATTGATTCTGATTCTACCAAATTGCTCATTGAACTTCCGATCGAAATAGTAGCAGAGGCAGATGACGATAAAGGAGATTATCAGATTAGCAGCGAAGAAAAAAGCGTAGAGACCGAGTGAGTCTTCGGAAGCCAAATCTTCCTCTAAATTCGCATCGCTTTTGAACCTCTCATTTAAAAAATTATATGCTTATGAGTAAGGTTATCGGCTTCACAGCGTCCCCTTTCACTTAATGCTTCTTATTCAAGGTATGCTTATGTTGAAACAAAGAAAGGTCCATAGGAAAGAGAGTTTGCCTTAATATACACATAATAAGAATGATGTAGACAGAATTATGCCTATTCTGCTGATCTCATCCTTGTATTATACTCAACAGTTTTAAGGAGTTCTCAGCGCTCTTCATAAGAGAAATTCATTAATAGTCCTTATTCTACAGTTTCTTTGCTTACTTGACTGCTTATCGCCAATCTCTCTTTTACAAAATCTGAAGGTTACGCGATGGAGTTTCGATACTTGTGCAAAACAGTGAAGAACGTGCAACCATCATTCAAATGAGATGCAATTTATCAATTTTTATGAGAACAACATATTAGGTTGCATTAGTGATTTTGATTAATTCCGTCGATCATTAAGAAGTGGTAAGAAATGTTTGTCTACAACGTTGCTGTTATCAGAAGAAGTTATTTTGATTGCATAATTGTTTTTTATAATGTATGTGCGTGAAAATAGAAAGGTCATACAAGATCGAGAAAAATAGGAACGAAATCATAAAGGAAATTAGGAATAATAGTAATGGTCGAAAGTTTTACAAAATGTGCGACAGTAGTAGTGAATTGATTGGATCGACACCTATGCTCAATAACATATTTGATGTTGTTAACGGGATGAATTCTACTAAAGATGAGTGTTTGTTGTGCCAAGAAATGCTTAATGTCCTTACGAAGCACATGCAAAACTTGCTGGACATTTTTGCGCTCAAAAGTTATGAAACTGATTGATGAAAGAAATTATTTAATTATTGACACTTCTCTGTAAATGTCACGCGAATATTTGCCTTCTTTGTGCATAACCAAGTTCCGCTATGGAAGCATGATCTAGAATGATGAATATCTTAAGATTAAGCATACAACGAAAATAACAGCTGTGCGGTAAAATAAGGTTTGTACATTCCGAATACAAATTTTTGTTTCTGTCCGGAATTATTCGAATAGCCGGGCGTAGCTGGCTATGCAAGCTAGTACTAAGTAGAGATGTAGTAGACAAGCCCTTGTTTAAAAAGCATTGCAGGCAGTAAAGTGACGAATGCAAAAAGTCGTGTACCGGTACGAAACGAAGCATTTTTAGAATAGCAGAAATTGATTTTGGCAGAAATACGCACAAGCAAGTAATAGAATGTATCTCTTGTTACTGAAGCAAGCATATTTCCTCTTTGAGAGCTGGAGAAATTCAAAGTTTGTCAAACATCAAAATAGATGACAATTCAAAACCACCACGAGCCCTTAGTGGGTTAAAAGTGGGGCTGGAATGTGCTCTAGATGATTGATCTAACTCCTCAATTGTGTACAACTTCCGCCCGTTAATTTGAAAATCCATGAACAAAAATAACGCAATTTCCTTTGCTTCGGTTATGTGTTCTGAAAGTATGCAGAATGGACATGACATTCCAACAAATGTTTGAAGATGAAGATTTGAAGATTAAGCAAAAGGGTATGTAGAGCAAAAATTTATTGCTGGACAGTTAGTTATTACGATCTATTGATAATTTCGCCTTTTCAAATATTTTTAAATGGATTTTATCGCACTTCTAGTATGACGCCACAATAGCTACCACTTTCTTTAAGTTTTGAATGGGATATCTGCAACCAGTTGGATAAGAAATCCGCTCAACAGTCGAATTTATGTTTTATTTACTAGTTAGAGGAAACTACACAAAATGCACAGCATTTGCTTTACCAATAAGCGCCGCGCCAAGTGTGGCATGAGCACAAGAGTAGCCTTAAGCAGGACTCGAAAGAGGAGAATATGTACAAAATTTGGGTAATTGTTTGGCTTTGCGACCAGAGAGCCATGATGACACCAAATTCGAAACTGATATCTTATAATTCACAAAAGAAAATTGCAAATGGTAACAAACACACGAATTAGAATGTAGAGTATCTGCTATTAGCGAACGTGGTATATTGCATAATTTTCCTCAGAGCGTTTTTGTTAGTGACTTTTCAGTGTTACAGTCATTCGATTGTTCGTGGGATGTGCTACTTGAAATTGACTTACGTGAGTCAAAATACATAGATTTTGTCATTTGCAAAGATGCCCTTGCACTTCATATTATTATATGATGTTTCTGTGCTTATTGTGTATACCTATGTACTATGTTGTATATACTTTGATTGAGCGAATTTGGCCCAGGCAGTATGTAGCTTCAATTACTTGTAGCTCCAGACGCTTTACTTACACCCAAACAAATGGAGATTCTGAAAAAAGAACAAAAACTACAATCTTGT